GAAATCAGCATGCCTAGGGAAGCGTTAAAGAGAGTGAATGTGTCTTTTGTTTATATACCCTGATCAAATTCAGCTCATACCAGATTTTATACTGAACCTATGCTAGCTCACAGGCACAGGGAGGGCGTTTAATTGCAGGGCAGTTTTATGAGGGTTTAAGAGCATGCTTCCCCAGAGCGCTGTTAAAGTCTAACCCTGCTGAGTAGTATCTGTCAATGTTTTGATCTACCTGAGATTGGAGGGCTGAGATAGTAAGTTATTATCCTTGTTTGGGTATGAGCTGTTTGCCTACTAAGCATCTGCTGGCTGTCTCATAAACAGAGTGTTTCCGTATTTCTAATGCCAGGAAGTGTTGAACATTACATGTTCAGAGAAAATAGTTATGGCGAGGAACAAACTTAAAAAATGTCTCAGTTTATGTTAAGCTGTCAGAATCATATTTACTGTTTTATTTTTATATTCTATATTTATTATTTTTCTATGAAGAGACACACTGTACAGAATCATAATTAAGTAATAATAATTCCTTAATGTATCATATTCAGTATTTTCGGTCAAAGCTAAGTTGCTTCTAAACTTGGCTCTATGAGGCATGTTTGCCACAAATAATTGCTAACATGCTAAAACATACTTCCTATGCATTTATGTATAATGCTAAAATTGTGCCACATTGCACGACACTGTAAATAAAAGATAGACATAGCCACAATCACCTGTTGTCGTGGTAGGTTTTTTTATCCCTCATCTGAAACTTTTGAGGAACCAAGGACACTGCACACCAACATGGTAGCAACTCGGCTCTTACAAAGAATACTCTGTTATCAGCAATTTTACTCTAATAAGACTTAAATCTATGGGCTGAGGCCACGACCTCATTAGGAAAGTGTTTACTGAGGTCGTAACCGAAATAAGCCCACTTTGGTTTGTTTTCCCAGCTTGAACATTGGAGTTTAGCATTCGGCTAAGTAAGGGATGGAACTGATTGAGAAGCTGAAGACAGGATTTATTTTACTTTAAATATGCTCAGGCTTTATTTAATATTAAAAACCTTCATCGTGAAAATACTTGAGTTAGAAATCAAGTTAGAAATAATTTTCTCATAGACCTTTTTAAGTTCTGACTGACTTGTTTCAGCCAGAGGAGTAGCCCCCTGGTGGCCATTAAAATGAAAGCAAGTTTATTAATACATTTTTTGAATACATTGCATGGTGACATGTGGATAAAAAAAAGTCAACAGTGACCATTAATGTCTTTATCAAAGTTTTGTTCAGTTGGGGGGTCTGGATCCTGTCCCAGCTGTCTCCAGTAATGGAGACAGACAGGCAACCATTCTCTCTCACGTTCACAACCCTATGTATGTTTTTATACTGTGGGAGGAAGCCATAGCATCTGGAGAAAACCCACACAGACACAGAAACATGTAAACACAGAAAGGCCCCAGAATGGATTCAAACCCTGGACCTTCTTGCTGTAAGGCACCACTGCTAACCACCACACCAAAATCCAGAGATTCTTCTGAAATTTTTAAGAAGTCACAAGTTTCATTATGGTAGCTCAGTCAGTCAGTTTTTTATTTCTGTGGTAACATACAGAGATAAAAGGAAGCAGTTATTGTCAGCTGTTGGACAGATTTTTATTTTTTTTTGCCTTTTTGATCACTGATTGGTTTTATTTGTGATGTAAAACAGACAATTTAAAATAGATCAGTGTTGTGTTTATGTTGGTGCTGAGTGCCACTGTGCAGATACTAATCACAATGCTAATCATAGACTTTGTACTGTAACACACTAAACTGACTTTAGATCCTCCCTCCACTCTCTAATCCAATTTATTTGTATATAACTGCAGCAAAGGAAAATAGAAAATGCACGTGTGACAGCACCTGAAACTCTGGTGCTGTTAGCTAACACTGAAACATTAGTTTGTCCACATAATTCTGATGTTCTGACGATGCTGTTTAGAAATAGACTGAAAAGTGGTAATCCTAATGCTCCCTTAAAGAGCAGATTTAGGACTTAGTGGGATTATAAAGTGAGCACGTTAAGTTGGGCCCTCTGTCCTTCTTACTGGCCCCAAGGAAGCTCATTGGATTTACTATGAATCGTACTGTAGTATGCTGTAAATAGAAGACAAGAGGCAAAAAACAAACAAGGTGGACAAGAAAAGCAGTGAAGTACGTGTTCCTTTTTATAGCACTTTAATCAGTTGTGTCACTGCTTTGGAAACAGGCTCGTGGTTGACATAGATACAGTGTCGTCTTATCTGTTGTTCTACCAAGAGCTGCTCCTCTTGCACGCTTTAGAGTCACGGCGTGTTCACTAATTGTGTCACACGTGATTTTTCCTGGATTTATTGTCCTATAATCACGCACATACAGCCACATGTTCAATAATGTGAACAACAACCCCAAGCAGTCAAACTGAACTGTTGCCACAGGGAAATGTTCCTAATGGATAAAATGTCCAAGACATGAACGCAACAGAAAAATCACAATTATTAAAGTTACTTCAGAATTTAAATGTTCCACAAATACCAACGGGTAACACTAAATGTTAAAAGACAGACTTCCACATTGTTATACACTGAGACTACCAAACTTGGAGAGGTCTTGTGAGATCCTGCGACTGGATGTTCTGGTGCTCAGTGTTCTGAAGTGCTGACCAGAGGGCAGCAGATCAAAGAGGTTGTGGCCTATGTGTGAAAGGTCTGAAATGATTTTTGCAGCTTTTCCAGCCCTTTTTTCCTGCTCTAGAAGAGTACAGGTCCTCGAGGGTCGATCAGGGAGCACCAGTAATCCTCTCAGCAGCCCGGACTATTCTTTGTAGTCGTCTCATTTCTGATTAAGTGGCTAAGCCATATAAAACAGTTAACTGAAGGATGCAACACAGACCCAAATACAGCGCAGCAGAACTAGGACAGCAGCTCCGTTGGGAGGTTGAACTTCCTTAGGACTTTAAATACTGTGCTTCATGTCATACGTCTATGGAACCTGAAGAACCTAACCGTGGTATTTGTCTGAAATTTGAAGTTTGACTTGCATTTCTGATACATCAAACGGAAGCTTGCACAACCTCCTATCTTTATGCAGGTTTGCTTCAATCTTGGATACGTTTGAGCCCAGCAGTGTCATCCACAAACACCAGGAGCTTAACACAGGAATAAGAAGAAGTGCGTTTATTTGTCTAAATGTAGAAGAGGGGAACAAGACCTGTTGTGAAGGTGCTGGATGTGAATTTCTCTAGCTTAGCTAGCTACATCCTGTCTGTTAGAAGGTAAGAGATTCACTGACAGAGGGAGTTTGGAGGTGAGCCAGGAGAAGATGAAGCTATCCAGAAGCAGGAGCCTTGAAAAAGTCCTAAGTGGTCTCTCTTTTGGTCTTTTTGTCATGTCTCCCTCCACTGTCTCCCTCCACTTAAAAAGAGTCCAGTAAGGGTTCAGCAATATGCTTGAACTGATTTCTTTGAACCCAATATGTGATGCTCAGCTGAATATGAGGTACGTGAAGAAAAAAGGTAATATATAAGGAAAATATGACCATGCGAAACAGACAGTTTCCACTGCTAATGCTAATTGTAGTAAGCCAACATAAAATAAAGAAAACAAGCAGCACCAAGCCCTTTCTGAGTTTGTCCCAAACAACAACCAAAGAAAAAAACAGTCACTCTCAGACACTACAAGAACTACGCCCGTGATATCAATGCAAATGCACCTCATACAGTAAACAGAAGACAGCAGCATATGAGCAGACACTGACACACAGCCCACAAGCTGATAGGTTTTTGGCCTCAGCTGCATATAAGATTTTTGATAAACCTGAACGGAGTGAAGACGTTTCCCGATAAGCATGTTAGCACAAGAAGAGCAGGGATCACTGGCAATCGAAGTTGCCAACAACATGGGGAATGAGATCTCGTACTCTGGCTTCAAAAACATGTTGGAACCCAACAGCTGATAAGTCACTGAAAAACAAGGTCGCAGAGCACCAGCAGATGTAGCTGTACGAATATAAGGGTGCACAGCGTGACGGGAACAGCAGGAAACGTTTGCAGCAGTTTGTCAATGAGCAGTGTGGACTTTAGTGTGTATTCAGTGTGTTGCACATCAGAGTCATTGTATTTGTAGCCTCTTTTGCAGACATTTAATCCTGGTTTATAGACAAATGAATGCTTTTGTTGCATTAAAATAAAGGATCAGGAATTTATCAGGCTAAATTATTATTATTAGCAGCAAAGATCTTTAAGAAAATAAAAGTATTTGTCTTGGGTGCCAATATAGCTCACCTGTATTTATCTGGTTATCCTTCATCCTTTATTCCGTTTGCACTACTTGGGAAGATAACAAATATTGCTAATTGCACAATATACCCCCCCTTCACCCTCCTGGTCTTCCTTGAAAGCTGATCCAGCTTCATGCACACAACAGAGCAGACACTCACCACAAAGATCTGTCACACGGCCAGGATCCCTTTTTTTGTTTTAATTCCCGTCTTTGCCCCTCCTCCGTTCTCTTTATTTCTGCCTTTGATGAAAAGACATGCCAGTGATATTTCAGGGGCTTAGTGGAGACAGACAGCGTGGGTTTCATGTTTTCCCCCAGCTTTTGTCTGAACTTTGAGAGGCTGAAGTCACAGGTGCGAATGCGCCGTCACAGATGCCAGAGCAGACCCCACAACCCCCCGACGCTGCCGAGTCACACCCGACTCAATCTGGCCTCTCGGTAGATGCCACGGGATCACCCCGGAAAACAATGGGACCTGAATCTGCAGCCAAGAGAATGTGGCAGGTTGAGTGCTTTTAAACGAGGAGGAGAAGAAAAGCTTTTTATTTCTCGGTGACAGCGCCTCATTAAGAGGTATCGTTAGCAATTTGTCAGGTATTAAAATTCGCCTGCGTATTTAACGGCTAGTGTAAGAACATGAAACGGGCTTGTTTGCGTGGATGTTAAACTCACTATCCTGATGCAGTTGAGTTTCTCATGCCCTGCTTTCGCTCTCTCGTCAGGAGTGCTGAAGGACTATCTACGTGAGCTGCCCTACCCTCTGATCAACAAGCAGCTTTATGAGGCAGTGTTGGAGTCTATGGCTGCGAGGCCTCTGCGGATGGGAGCGTCTGGGTGTGAGAATGACCAGGCCGACTCTGAACACACCGTCAGCCTGCTGGAAAACCTGCCAGAGGTGGAGAGGGTAAGGACAATTTTTAAAAAAGTGCACATTCTTCTGCACAGGAGTTAAAGGACTGTCACAGAGGTGGCTTTGAAAGGGCATATTGTGGGTAGATAATCATGGTAATAATCATAATGCTACAGATTACCACTGTTCGGCTGATAATTGTGATGTCGTGCAGCCTTGCACCTCAAGCACTGTCATCGTATCCACAGTAGAATGACATAAAAGTGAAAACGAATAGTTGCTGAAACTGTATCCGTACGCTATTGGTCCAAGTGAACTGAGTCACCAGATTCATTGAAAGAAGCATGTCAATGCTTTGTGAGAATACAACTACTCTCTTAGTTTTAAAAGTGTAGCATTTGCAGTATTCTGCACTCGGCTCCTTTGCCAACACGCCTTATATTACTGATAATAATATTCCTTCTGGTTTTTTTATAAAACCTTCAGGTTTTTTTAAGATAAACTTACTGCTGCAGATGTGTCTTAAAGCAGTTTTTCGCTTTGCATCTTTACTGCTGCTGCTAGTGGTACAACTGCAACTACTAATCATAATAATAACATGTTTTATTTGTATGGCTTTTGTGTATCTGTGTGTGTGTGTGTGTGTGTGTGTGTGTGGATCAGATGATGCTGCGGAAGCTTCTTGACCACCTGAAGCTGGTGGCATCCTACCAAGAGATGAATAAGATGACGTGCCAGAACCTAGCGGTGTGTTTCGGCCCGGTGCTGCTGAGCCAGCGTCAGGAGGCGTCCTGCCACACCAACCGAGTCTTCATCGACTCTGAGGAGCTGGCCAGCGCGCTACACTTCAAAAAGCACATCGAAGTACTGCACTACCTGCTCCAGCTCTGGCCAGGTGATTGTGACCTTTGTTTGTTTGTTTTTGTCCCGCTTTCTCTAAAGACGTTTTGAGCACATGGCGTGACTTGAAAAAGCAGCACATCTACAGTCAGGTCGTGCGCACACTGGTCTCTCTTGCCTGAGGGTCTTGTACAAATCAGTGCCAGCCCTGCGGTTCAGCTCTACAAAGGGCTGTTAAAGGGACTGGGCTGCTTTGATCCTTGAGGTTTTTCCACCACTGGCACAAGTGCAGCTGATAGCCACAGGCCACCATCTGTCGGCTCCTCAGAGATGAAACCCTCCACAAGTGCTTCATCGTGATGGGTTGAGCCAATCGGAGCCAAGCCAGTAAAGCCTCAGTGTGAACCAAACATTTGGGGCGTGGTCCCCCCCCCCCTCTCTGTTTTTAGATAAATTACCAATCAAGGACAGTCAGCAGCAGCTTCTCTCAGCACAGGTCATCTGTCTGCCTGCACAGCTGCTCTCTGCCAGCGGCAGCTGTCTGCTTGCGGTGAGATATGGCAAAGTCCATAGATGATCCAGGAGAGGATGGAGAATGATGAGACAAGTGTGTGTGGCGTGATATTTGCATTGGTTATGGGAACTAATCTGATTTTTTTAGCTCGTGGGCTTGATTTTATGAGTTCACCACATTTCTAATAATCAAGTGAGCCATGCAGGGGCTGCTGATGCATTTAAATTCTCGAAGACTCCAAAAAGATCAAAAAATGAGCCCCTGGGCCGGGCGGACAGCTTAGTTGTTTTGTTTTGTTTTGTGGGTTTTACATATGCATGACTACCAATCCGAAACTAATCCAACTCACTATATTTTAACATTTTTCTGAGTGCAGTGTTATTCTGTGCATTTCCATTGATACAGTTTTGAAAAAGCACATGTTCACCGTCTGTAAAAACCTTTTTCCCAATGGCTCCGACATCCTGTGAGACAGACTTTCCCTCCCGAATGATTATACAATCCTCGGAGCTCCTCCCAAGCAGCCTGCAGCTTTAACCAGATCTGCTGATGTGCGTCTGAAGACGAAGTGACTCTGCGTCTGGTTGAGCCTCTTAACTTTAACTGCATCCTCCACGTTGAACCCATTCTGTGTAAACCACTGAAGCTTAGCACCCTGCTTTACATCACCCAGAGAAGGAGCACAGAGAAAGAAATGTAAGCCAGCGGCTTAATTAGTCAGCATCTGTGAATCCTATGATTGCAGGTAGCAGAGGGGATTACATTTGGAATTTTAAAAATTAAAGCATAAAAACTGTGGTTTTTGTTGGGTTTTTTTGTTTCCCCGCAGTTGCCTTTAATGACTTATAAAGACACTGACAGAGCATTTTAGTCCAGGTTCAAGCCTTCATTTACACCCTCAGCAGTGTTTCCATTCCATCCGCTTCCCCAGTACAGAGTACAGGGCGCCTGGACTGTATAATTAAAGACATTCCTGGCTTAACCTTACCCCTCAGCCCCTGAAGCTTCACCCGTACATTTCGCAATCATTGTGGGATATTTTGAGCCGCCTCTTCACGCCTTTCATACACACATACCAAACCTTCCAAGGCATTGTCGCTCAGGCCTCCACAGCCTGACTGACACTACTTACAGGACGTGTGTGTGTGTGTGTGTGTGTGTGTACTGAAGAGGCTGAGGAGGTGATGAGTGTGCATGAAGAAGTTTTTCCAACTGTATGTGTGAGAAGATGTGAGCAGATGGTTAGACAGACAAAGTGACGGCAAGAGGATTCTTTCAGTGTTATCTTTAAAATCCAAAATTAGCTGCATGTTCATTTTCAGTTAATTTGCCCTGCTTCTTTTTTTAATTTATCATTAAAATCAGCTGTGGGTTTATTGTTTTATTTTGTCCATTTCAGGTTTTTATTGTGTTTAGATGTAAAAATACACTCATCCTAGCACAACTAAGTCTAATCTTAATATATTACAACAAGTAAACATTGTGAAGCTGTCCAAGAAAGGAAAAAAAAAATATGATCGTATTCTCGCCTGCTTTCCGTCTTCATTTTCTCTGCTGACAGCTAATAGCTTTAATCATGTCATCAGTGAATCATGTCTGGAATTAAATAACACAGCGCCTCTGAAAGGAAGATAATTTCTGTTTGTTTTAAGGTGATAATTGCTCAAGTCTTTAGCCTCGGGGGAGCTGCGAAGTGTGCAGCTACTCCACGTAAACACTATAGCAGCAACAGCCACTCTGATGAATGAACTGCAGTGAACTTAGTTAAGACAAGTGCAAAAAAATTCTGTTTATCGTCAGCTGGATGAAATAGGCGAACGCGCACAAAGGAAAACAAGTCATTTCAAGGTCATGTCTCAAAATAAAATTTAGCATTTCTTTTTAAATATATAATGTATCTATTGAACATGGACTTACAGCCCTAACTGTGTTTTTGTTCTTTTCCAATATAGTAAGCTAGCGGAGCCAGAAAATGTAGGTACTGAGATAAATGCAGAAAGGTAACCAGACTGTGGTTGTGTTTGGCTGCTCACTTTTCCTTCACCTAGTCCACTTAGAGGAGTCTTTCTTAAGGTTCAAGCTTTAGTTAATTTTTAAGTTTGGTTACTCGATAACAGCACAGGAAGCAACAAAAACACTGTGTGCAGTGGTGTGACTTCAGCATGTTCGTTCACCTAATGATGAACCGATTGTTCTCTATGTTGTCCTCACAGAGGGTCATTCCGCTAAAGCGGGAGTCTTTTAAATAGAAATCAGCTGCACCAAAACAAGGCTTGTGTTTTTTTGTTATGTATGTGTGTTTTTTGTTTGTTTTTAGTTCATTTTAATCACAGAAAATCATATTTTCTCATGCAGCCCTGTCTAGCCACGCTGATAGCATCACATTCCCGTACTGCGAAATCTGATGGATTTTAGTTTATGAAATGCGCACCATTGTATTTTTCCATAAACATGCTGATACTTTAAAAAAAATGCTGCATATACAGACTGTATATAAAAGATCAGCTTGTGCATCTTGGTGTGGTTTTTTGGGGGGTTGTTGTTGTTGTATTTTTAAGCCAGCAAAGTTAATCTGATTGAGAAGTTCAGACTGTTATGATAGCACTTTGTCACTAACAAGTTGGCTGTGCCCTGAAGCACGCCCTTTATGATCAGTGCTCATGATCATTATGCTGAACTGAAGACTTAAAATAAGCAAAGAGATTACAGTTGTTGTAAAAAAAAAATGCATTTATTTATTTGGAGAAATAAAATGAAAAGTAGAGTCATTTTCAGGAGCTGAAGTATGAATTGGTAGGTGTAGCAGTGCAGTGGGGAAATCATTTGTACTGTAAGCTCCAGTAGATTTGTTTCCAGGCCGTCATCAGCTGACCTGCGCTGTATCTCGCTCTGAGGTTTACTGCTTTTTTTTTTTTGGGGGGGGGATTCAGTCAGCTGCATTCTACAATATATAAGTGAATAATACGTGAGCCATAAGCTGTGCTTTGCAGCTCTTATAAAGCTAATATACCACTAGAAGTATACAGTCTAAATCAGCGGTCCCCAACCTTTTTTGCACCACGGACCAGTTTAATGTCAGACAATGTTTTCACGGACCGGCCTTTAAGGTGTCGTGGATAAATACAACAAAATAAAACGATACAACCAAGACACAAATATATTGTAAATATAACAATGAACGCGAATTCACTGTGTAAGTGTGTAACTTTATTAGCAGTGTCCTCCTGAAATGTGCCAATAACATTGAGAGTAACATCCTCCTCGCTACCCCTTAATGCCGTCTTGGTCGCTATGGTAACTTGTAAATATTTCTTTCAAAATATGACCCAGGGAAACCGAGTTAACGATGAAAACCCTGAAAACCATAAGTTGCACACCCGAGCCTCAACTCTCGTGGCCCAGTACCAAACGAATCACGGACTGGTCCCAGTCCGTGGCTCGGGTGTTGGGGACCGCTGGTCTAAATAACGTAATTATTAAAGAAGAACAACAACCACTTTTCCCTCCGAGGAAAACAAAAGAATGAGAAAATATGACCTTTTCTTATTTTTGTGTTTTTGTAATTTTCACGATTGTTTAATAACCAGCTGGCTTATATTTAACTTTTTCTTTGTTTTTGTTTTTTTTTCTTTCTTCCTCTAGTTGTGGACCCACATGGCCAGTCCTCTTCTCAGCCCCCAGCACCCTCTCTGGTTCCAACTTCCTCTGACCTGCGGACAGCCCCCCCTCTGCGACGGAGAAAAGAGCGGCCTCAGGTGCTGAACCTCACTGGAGCAGAGATGGCGGGGGTTCTGCGACCCAAACCAGGGCGTCTGGACAGCCCCAGCAACCGCTATGCTGGTGACTGGAGTGGCTGTGGTGAGACGTACTTCCCTTCTGAAATGTTGTTACCTTCCAGCAAAGAAGAGGCAGACTATGACGACGTTCCCTCAGAAGACATCGAGGCAACTGAGGAGGTCCAGGAGAAGCAAGAGGAAGCAAAAGACGGCATACAGCTCAAGGTTGATTGTCCTGTGTCTGATACCGCAGATGAAGAGCAACCTCAGAGAAGGGAGGTGGTAAAGGAGGAGGAAACACGGGAGGCGGTGGAGGAGCAGGAGAAGCTAATAGAAAGTGACAGCTCAAACAGTGGACACCCATTAGAGGAGGAGGAGGAAGAACACAAGGTGTGTAACCACATCCTGCCACCTCGGCTACCTAAAGAGCACACTTACCAGGCCTACATGAAGATCCAGGATATCAGTCCTGTATTGAGCAACAGGGTGAACCTGAGGGACCTGCAAGAGAGCATCGACACTCTGATAGGAAACCTGGAGAGAGAGCTCAACAAAAACAAGCTCAACGTGGGATACTAACTCCTAGACACAGATACGCAGACATATCCACCCGCACCCCCATGAAGCTCGATAAGGTTTGGGACAGAATCTCTTTATCTCTGAAGGTGCTTTGGGATACAGCCATGGAGGTCTTGTGACGTCACCATGCCAGCATGGTGCACGGTACTGCTGCTGCAAAATCCTAGAAGATGAGATAAGAAATGTAACAGGGCACTTGTGGCGTTTGTACCATATCCACAAACATTCCGCAATATTCTCCTTTTATTTTGTTGGCTGATTAAACTTTATGTTGTGTGGTTTTGTTTTAGTCCAGTTCTGTGTTCCATGTTGTTATTGTTGCTTCTCTTCTTATTAGAAGAACCCAATTACCCCTCAGGGGTTTAAAAGGTGCCTTAATTGTGTGAAGGTGGTACGTCAAGAGGAAAGTCTACCCTGAAATATAACACATCACCTCCGAGGATCTGGGCCTGTGTAGATAACGCTTGAGAATGGGTTTTCAAGAGCCTTTCTTACAAAAAGAAAAAAAAAAAAGCTATAGTGTATTTCAAATTCAGCAGGTACACATCCATTTTCTGAACTCTGGGGCTCTGTAGCAAAATTTGGCCCAGTCTGAATAGAGAACTTGCAAATTTAGTCACTTTCAGACCTACTTTAAACCTTGTATGGTGGTTAATTTAGTAAAACGAACCAAGATCGTTGGAGGAACGTGTACACTTTGTCTTAGGGTGGATTTCCTTTTTAAGGCAGTAAAGAGCTTTTTCTATTGAGGTATAAAACACTAAATGTTATACAACAACAATGCACTAAATAGGCAGGCAGTAGTGTAGATTATCATCATGCAGTAAAAAGTCTGTTCTGAACTAAGGGGAGAAACTGCTGCCACTTAAACCTCTTCTATGTTCAAAGTCACACCTATGCTTACGGCTAAACATACATTTTGAACAGATTTTGATTTTAAGCAGAATTGGTGTTTCATGTAGTGTTGCAGGTTTGGTAAATTCACCTTCTTGCCCAGGATTAGATGAAAAGATTGATACTACCCTCATGTCTGTAAATGAATATAAGCTAGAGTCAGAAAGCAGTTAGCTGCACTAAGCTAGCATAGCTAAGGTTAGTGTAGCTAAGATAGCTATGTTTTTGAGAAAATAGAGTAGCTTGGTTGTAAAAAACATGAATAAATTTAAAAAAAAAAAACATCCTAAAATGTTACAGGTTATAATTAACAAAAATATAGTTTAGCAAAGACGCGAACGTGGTATCAACTTTCTCATCTACCTTGATGCAAGAACATAAAGAAGCTTGTTATTTCTAAGCTGGTTATTTCTAAGTTGTTGGGGGTTTTTTTGTTAAAGAAAAAAAAATGAAATAAAATAGTTAATTTAAAAAAACACATGGTCAAAAACAGTGAAATAAACAATGTGAAGCACATCATGTAGATCAGCAGCGGAAATAAAAATGGCGGGCTCATCCAGTTAGTTCAAAATAGCTAGCTGCTTAAAAAGACAAAGGACGTTTTCAGCAATCCAGGGATTCAGAATGATCAGTATTTAACCTATATGTATATGTATATAATTATATAAATGTATTCGGAATATATTATTTTTACAGCTTATATTTCAATGGCGTATTTAAATACTTCTTATGACCTTCTAGTGTTGCCGTGTAGCAATAGTTGCTTCTTTCCCTTAAAGCTACCTGTACACATCTTAATGTGCTGGACTAATGGTACAACTTTAGCTGTAAAATATATGGTACAATCGTGCTCTTGCAGAAAAAAGTGATATTGTTATTTTTGTGATATTGTGTATATATATTTGACATTGTTTTATGTCTCTGGTGGACTAAGGCGTGCTAATGATTTTTTGGCGTTTTTTTTTTTTTTTTTTAAGGTACTGAACGTTGCATGGTCAAAAGCTTTACTGACATAAGCAAGGCTCTGTCTCATCTGCCTTTGTATATCATATTTATGTGTAAAATAAGATTATTTTGTAACGTATGCGCATTTGTTTGACCCCCGTTCCTTTGTAAGACAGCATTGTCCAAGCTTTTTTCCAAAGGACTTAGAGGCAGGCAGTTTATGAAACGCAGAAACTGGTAACAATTTTTTTTTCTTTTAAACTCCAGCAACAACTGTAAAATGCTTTTACTGATTGAAATGGTTTAATTGCACTCTTATTGTTATTAGTATATTTGCTAAATCACTTTTGGTTTAATTTTATTTTAGGAGGATTTCTAGCCTAAAATATACAGAATAAGAATAAGTAAAATAGTCTTCAAAATTGTTTCACTTATACATTGAGTTTGTTGTTTGCCCTCCTGCATGGTGTTTTTGCACAGTCCTGCTGCTGCACGGTGAAGCTGGGCTGCTGCTGAGCGGATCTGTTGAAACTGGGTTTCAGCAGGGTTCCTTTCAAACCATCTGTCTGTGCAGGCAACACACAAAGAACCAGGGCCTCATTTATAGTAGCCATTGTGAAGAATCAGCTAAGGATTTTTTTTTTTTAATGTAAAGATTGTCCTTTAAATCTGACGTGCATTCTTCCTTACAATGACCCAGTTTCCCTAATAGGATCTCAAATTATTACTCAAAGAGTACACAGAGAGCACACATGTTTTTATGGTTTCAACTCAACAATCAAATAGAATGAAAGTAAACTGGGACGCTAATGGCAGAACTCAAGTCTGTTTCAGAGCTAACATGGAGATGCAAGTGCAGCGACGGAGTCATTATCTGACCTCCTCATTTCCCACCTCCTTCTTCTTCCACACAACAAACAAACAAAAATCATTTCTGTCTGATCCTCTTTGTCCTTTGGAGGAAAAAGTGCCACATTCAAAGCATCACTAAACAAAAACAGAGAAGTGCTTTGTATTGATCCTGAGAAATGTATGGTCATAATAAAGTATGTTATTTTACGTTCACATGTGGCTGCTGTTGTCTTTTCCCTCCCTTTCTTCTTGGTGGCTCAAGACTTTTGCACAGTACTGTAGTTTTTAGTTTTTCAGAATAAAAATAATTTAAGAAACAGAAAAAAATACCATCACAAAAATAAACAATTACCTGTGGTTGGCATTGTCAGTGGCACAGCGAGCATCTTGCCTTTCTCACACACAAACGTGGAATTCATTCATAAAAACCTCACAAAACTTTTTTTTTGTTTTGCTTTTTAGTGTAAATACATCTGGTAGTCGAGCATGTGGCCTAGCAATCATGTCACAGTTGTTGAAATAACTTGACACTGTGGCCATAATTCCCAAACTGTTTTAAACACTGCTATTGTTTTATAGAAACCCAACAGGAAAAGCTTAAACTTTAGGAGACATTTTTATGTTTTGCAAATTCACCTCTTTGCTGTGGGAGCAGGGTAACCCAGCCTCAGTAGAATACGGATAAATAAGCCGGGGAATTGCCCTTGTTGGCTTGTGGGAATCTCCCAGAAATACTCTGAGCTACAGGGACATTCCCGGGATGCAGCTGCATTTAGCCGTCCAGTAATATTCACTGCTAGTAGACTGCACTTTTACTGCGGCTCCGACACCCGGCATTTCCAGTGACATTCACGAGACGCCTACAAATAGCCTCAAGTTAGAGCGAGCAGTTTACTGAAATAGTTAAATGTCATTTTATTTTGAAATATTTTTCCAAAGCAGCTATAAATTCAAACAGAAAGGCGGAACGTCGCTGACGGGCGGCTCCAGCATGAGAAGTCTCAGCAGCCGGAGGCCTTTTAGCATCAAATGGTTTTTCAGGCTTCTTTGATGTCACCACTGTAAATATGGTGGGTTTTTTATGGCTGCACTGAACAGGTATGAGAAAGCTTTAGGGTACAGAATGTACACATACCTGTTTGCACGCCCACATCTTCAGTGTCTGTTCTCACTGGGAGTTTTTGTGCAGATGGAGCCAAATATTTCACTAACAGTCTGAAAATGCAAATACTTTTTTACACACTGAAAATAACAATCCCATCGGCTTCAAGGTTTTTTTGGGTGGGGGTGTTGTGTAGTTCACTCACAAAGCATAAATGGGAAAGGATCTGCTTTTGTTGAATTCCACATTTTTACTTTACACATCTGGAAAAAAGGTTTTATATTTAGATTCAGGTACTCGACTCTGATGTCACAAGCGTCTGTTGTAAAAGTACTTTGTCCACATTCAACTTGCTAAGCTGTTCCCTCAGTCCCAATAAAAGCAGGAGTGAAATCCCATATGAAGTCAGAGGTAGACATAATAACAGCGAGCCTGTTTGGATAGTCAGGGTCGCCACTTGATATCAGGCAGTCGGAGTGAACTGAACTGAACTTTTGTTCATTTCTAATTCTGGAGAGAAGAGATACGAGTCTTGCTAGGTAAACATCCTTGACAGCCACCTGCATGTGAAACCAGACCTTTTCTCCTCTCCTCCTCATCTGCTCCCTTAATCTCTGCTGACCTTTGAGTCAACATTGTGGCCACAAGTCAACTAGCCGACCACATAACACACAGTCTTTGTTTCAAATTAGACTTTTTTCAGCGTTAGCTGTGGTTTTTGGCAAGATTGGACCTTTGAAATCATCCACGCAACCTTTTAAAGTTGTTTGTGATCAGCTGTGGGGGCAGGAGGGGTGGACAATGACCCTTAATGAAAAAGAAAATAACTCCCAGGCTGCTCCGGCAATAAACTAACATCAGGCCCGTCTCAAGGGGGGTTCTTATTTACATACAATATATAAAAAGACATTCATGAAACCATTTTTAGATTCAAAACATGCTCGAGTTTAACCAGGTTTTCTTTTCATGCACTTGTGCTGAAACTTGTATTGATCCTTGTATTGATCCTCAAAAAACAATTATTGAGGTGTTTTTGGAGGTCTTTTGTTCTCCTACAGTCCAGCCCCTGTACATGCTCGAGTTTAACCAGGTTTTCTTTTCATGCACTTGTGCTGAAACTTATAAGTGCATTGTCTGAATAATCATTCAGATAACCTTGAAGACACTTTGATCAGATCTAATTTGTTGATGAGTTCTTTAAAAAGCAAACCAATAAAATTTCTGCGTCTGACCTTCTTCTACCTTTGTGGATTGTTTAACCGTTGAAAGGCGCTGCAGTGGGTTTAGGGGGCACTGCCCTTTTGATCATGTTTTTTTCTGCAAAACAACTCCTGCCTTTGGATATTTCTTTCCCAAAGTACATTTGTAAATCACCTTTGAAACCACAAGATCATTAGCTGGACCATTTCCAGCAATTTGTAAAGAAAATAAGTGTATTGATGACTACTAATATACAGACTGGCTGGTTCCATAAAAGATTCAATTCAATTCAATTTTATTTATATAGCGCCAAATCACAACAAAAGTCGCCTCAAGGCGCTTCATAGATACAGAGAAAAACCCAACAATCATATGACCCCCTATGAGCAAGCACTTTGGCGACAGTGGGAAGGAAAAACTCCCTTTTAACAGGAAGAAACCTCCGGCAGAACCAGGCTCAGGGAGGGGCGGCCATCTGCTGTGACCGGTTGGGGTGAGAGAAGGAAGACAGATGCCTCTGTCTTAGTTAGAATTTTTAGTTAGACTTTGTGCAACTTTTAGACAACTAAAATTATTGAGTGATTATGAATTTCCTACTAGGCCATCCACCACCTGAAATAAAGTCAACTCCATTGAAGTAAACTTTCTTCTGATTGGCTGCCACTTGCAAACAGAAGGGTTCAACTGCAGGTTGGTGAGCGTGCTGTGCCTGAGATGACCATATTAAGCACATCGCCTTGCAGATTTGCTAATGCTCATTATTTGAAATGCTGGCCGTGGCTAATTTATGCATCCTTGTACTTTATGTATAAGATAATAGGTCTACTTTAAGTATCAATTAAGCTATTATTTTGGTTCCCTGTCATTAAAAAGTGCCCTGGCCACATTTTCCCCCTTTTAGCTGAAAACATATGGCTTCTTGTATGAGTTTGGTTC